GATCCCACTGTTGGGAGTGTGTTCACAGAACATGTGACGGTGCAAAAAACATTTGACTAAATAACAAAACTATAACAGCCTTTAATTGGATAACATTCCTTGATACATTTGAATTAAATAAAAAGAATTACTTGTTCCACTTCCTTCACCTTACATTTGTCTTCAACAGCCACAAATCTTTAGACAAGTGGGTAGCGAATGGTTTATATAAGTGAAACAAAACCTTCCTGTAGAAGAATGTGTGTTTTAATACCGTCAATACACAATACATCTAGGAATGTTGGAAAAAGAACGATGCCTTAATTATGCAAACTGTTTTTGTTTAGTCATTGTGTGGTGGGGGAGTGGAGTAGCATTGGAGCAAATCATTTTTATCCCTTTATTTTAATTAGCTTAGTTCTTTTGTTTGTCACAAAAGACAAATTTTAAGAACACATAAGGCCAGGAGCTGCATAATATCTAGAGGCTCTAAATGCGGAAAATAACAGATTTGATTAAAATTGCCTATTTTATGACTCAGCTTATTCAGTAGTGACTCCATATAAGGGTCTCTTAAGGATCATTCAAGTCATGCATTTGAGTCATCTGCATTAACGAGGTTCTGTTATCCAAAACAAGGTACGTGGAGCATCATGGTCACATTAGGGCACATGTTTAAAGATATCTGTCCCCTGACTGAATGGTAAAGGATGACAGAGTGATGACAACAGCTGTGGAGGATAGAGGATTTAGAGATTTTTTTATTTGATCAGAAAGGTATTACCTAGATGACAGTCACATGATTCTACGGGAGTGCGGTTTTTAAAAATATGAGCTTTGAGCGTGCACCAGACATGAAGCAAATGTGAAGTCCTGATTGGGCTTATTAAGCTAATTATCTAATTAGCCAGTGTTAAATTTCCCTGGTAAACATGACTTTACACTACCAACTAAAAGGCTTGAAGAATGTGTGAGCTGCATAATCATTCCTGCCTCATCTGTCATCGTAAAAAGTTTTGATGGCATTTTGCAGAACAAAGAGATTTAGCTCAAGGTAAACAACATAAAAACAAACAACCTCAGCGTTTTGCTTCTCTTCTTGTTAGCTAGTTTTATAAGGCCACACATACTTGCTCATCACAGACTGTTTAACCACTAAATCACCATACATCATGGAAGCATTTATTTATATCGTCTGTGCTGTGTTTGAGTTGGGTGGCTAATCGGCTTTTTTGCTCATGTTTAATAAACAAAGTCTCAAACCGTCCACCTGTTTACCATTCACTCTGAACGGGTAAAAACAACATTAAATCACTGCAAAGATTTGGCATGTTTTACGCTGAAGTACAAGGAAGTGGTTTGCGGTTGTGGGTGGGCTGATGTCAGGAAACAATGAGGAAATCTGTATTATACCTGCTCTAACGGCCACGTCTTCCAGGATTTATTTTTCTAAACGTTTTATCGAGTTTTTTCACTGAGTGACATTGAGCCCTTCAACCCCAGAGATAAAAACCTAAATCCTAAACTATAAATGTATAAAAAAGAAAAAAAAAAAGAAAAAAAAAAAAAAAAGAGGGAAAATGTCCAGCAGCCACGGCCTGTCAAGGTAACATTAGGAGGTGATGCTGTGCCATGGAATTGAATAATGCCCCTCTGGCGTGTGAGTGTGTGTGTGCATTTGTGTAGCTAAGGGGTGGAGTGGCTTCTGACAAGACTGAGATGTAAGGTCATTTACCCACTGAGGAGACCTGACAGAAGTTGATGCTGATTGATTAGGAGGAGAGAAAAGACGAAAAAGTAAAGCCAGTTCAGTGAGCAGGACAGGGCGACAGGTGGTATGAGAGGATAAGGTGGCAGAACAGATTTAGGAGAAGCTACATTTACAGTGGCTTGAAAAAGTATTGACATCTCTTTGACTTTTTCATACTTCAACCACAAACTGCATCTGTATGTATTACAGGAATTTATGTGGTAGTATATATCATAAGTGACAGAAATTAACTAAGAAAAATGTAAAGAGTATGCAGCCTCCTTACCTTCAACACACTGATATAAGTCAAAAGGAGTCACTGCAGTAGACCAATGGTTTCACTGGATTTCAGTTTAATTCTAATCTAGTATAGCTTAAATCAGTGATCCAGAATGAAAGTTTGTTATAAAACTATCTCAGGGTGTGTCCAATTTCAGATGCTCCATCCCTCGATGGTTTTATTTGGAAACCGATTACTTCTTAGCTCTGTAATGAAGGATGTTCCAGTGCATTATTCTCCTAATACTATTAAGTACAGCTGAGAAATGTGCCCTCCCTTTGCACGTTTTGAAGGAAGGGTAAGGTGAATCATTCCTGTCTCACTTCGATACTTCTCATGATTATATGATTGTCCTTAAAGGAACCTGGTGTACATAAGACCAGTCCTTTGAAAGATGCAACCCCTGAATGAAACACCCCTTTAGTTAATGAGATCTCACCAATGGCCAGAGAATGAAAAGAATATAACAATATAGCAACAGAGCCCCAACTTTCTGCTGAAAAATGACAGCTCCAAGTGCATGCTAACACAAGTGGTGCTAGTTTGCAGCTTTTCTTCCCTTGCAGTGCTTTTTGCTACTTAAAGCAGTTTTATTTGCATGTTTTTCTGTTTTAGTCTCATTTTTGATTTTACAGGACCTTTAGAATTTACTGTAAAATCATGAAGTTGCACAAGTTTTACACCTCTCCCCCACTGTAGAGTAGGGTGTGGATGGAAACCATAGCCAGTATCCTTAAGTTTCGGCAGTCTTCCACCCAAAGCTACGTCCATCATTTGCCATAAAAGTAATAGTCTGTCAAAACAATAAGCAGTGCCCCTGTTACTCCCTCCTAGGGCCAATTAAACAAGCCTCTTACCCTACATATACACAGATATTTACCCTTCAATAAAATAAAACATGTTTTAAGATTATATATTTTTTTTAAATCTTTTTCTTGATCTATATCTGCAATTTATTTGCTTTTCTCCTAAAGGAAGAGAAGCCTTTACTAAACAGAGTTCACCTGGCTGGATTTTAAACTGCAACAGGTGTGATTATCAATTTAAGAACAATACCCAGTAAAACAAAAGAAAACAACAGGTGCATACATTGCTTTAGATTTCAATAGCCATTTCTATCTTTCTTAAATTACCAAACACAACAGTAACTGCTGTTCCTTATTTATATAAATGACTTTAATAATGTTACAAATGAGCACACACTTAAACTTTATTACATTGATAAAGTGTGCCATGTTTTCAATTGAATAGATTATCTTTTAATGTTCAGAAATCTAATTTGATTATTTTAGTGGCAGAAAGATAAAGATATAACAGTAATCTAAATTGAATCGGCTGATTACTCCAGGTATCATCTGCAAATTTCCTGGGAGTTCTTAGTGATGAAAGCTTGAGTTGGAAAGAGCAGGCTGATTCTGTTAGTAGGAAGATCAAAGAAACTATCGGTATAATAAGGACAATTAGCCACCTTGTTACTTCAAAGTGTCCTCTCTCTTTATATTACAGCCTAACATAGTTTGGGGGAGTGCTTACCCCAACCCCCTGTACCATATTTTATTTTTCCAAAAACGCTTTGTCAGAATAGTATCTTGGTAAGGACCACACCTATCCTCTACACCAGGCATCCACAAAGTCTGTCCTCGAGGGCCGCTGTCCTGAAGGTTTTAGAGGTTTCTCTGCTTTAGCACAGCTGATTCTGATAAATGCAGTTCAGCAAAAGCCTGTTAATCAACTATCAATGTAAATCAGCTGTGCTGGAGCAGGGAAACCTCTAAAACCTGCAGGACAGCGGCCCTCGAGGACTAAATTCAGGGATGCCTGTTCTACACCTTCACTTCAAAGCTTAAAGATTCTCAAAATTTATGACATACTTATTTTTCAAATATGTTATTTATAAAATCTTTTATAGATACTGAATAGAAAAATCCCTATCAGTTTAATGTCTTATCTAAAGCAAATTCATATGTTAATTTACATAATACGCCCCAGTCAAGGGATCTTCATCCAAAGCGACTTACAAAGCAGGCATCAGCATGAAGGGTCTTGCCTAAGGACCCACACTTGCAGCTCATTCCCCCGACGGTTATTCAAACCATGGACCTCCTGTGAGCAAGTCGGGTGACTTACCACTTGAGCTAGCCACCAACTACAAAATAAATGGTACTCATAGATCCTAACGATGTCTAGCATTTGATGGATCAAGGTGGTGGGCTGGAGAGGGATGGTATTGGCTTAGCATTCTTAGGAGTGGCCACTGACTCCTGCATCTTACTAGTCAAGGCCAATTTAGAAACCTAAGGTTTAATGGTAGAACATGTCAATGTCTTTTTAAAATTTATTTAATTAAATTAGGGTTTTTATCACCATTGTATTTAACTGGGTTTTTGCTTCTTCTTGCATTGTATTTCGCTTTGTGCAACTAAACTTTCATCATCCATCAACTAAACATCCATCCATTCATCCAGAAAGGACAAAAACCAACTAAATATGATGGTATCTCTGATACAAAGTAATCTCAGTAACTGTGTCAAAGGCACACAAATTAATTCTGAAAAAGAAGAGACAGAAAATCAAACCAGATAAACCAAAATAAAACAGAAGACTACAAAATAAGAGACACTGTCACTTTAGGTTCAAACGAAAGATAAATAAATTGTTTAAGCAATGAATGGAAAATAATAAACTTAAACATACAAATTTAAGAAGCAAGTGTGGTGCAAGTGCAGAGGGCAGGGATCAGCTTAACCTCCACCCTCCTTTCGCTAAATATATTTCATAATGATACAGTGCCACTGCATAATATGTAAATGCTAGCAGAAGTCTGCTTTTTTGCCCCACATTTTAAGCTGCATTAAACAACTAGCACATGTTGCTGCAACAGAGTTATTGTTGGTGATTTGATCTAATATGTATTTCCTAATCTCTTCCGAATCCAAATCTCTAAATTATTTTTGTAACTCCATGGCAATATAAATGATATTTGTTTCCCACCTTGAGAGGTTTATGACTGCGGGGAACCGTCTCCTTCTTTCCCAGAGGAATGGGCTGCTGGTTGGCTGCAGTAAGCTGGTGCCTCTGGAAAACCAAAGCCTCCTTAAACTCCTCCTGCGTCTTTGTCTCTAACAGCTTCTGTCTGAAGGAGATGTCAGAGAACAGGGTGCCAAATGTCCTGCCCAGCTCCATTGCTGTCTTGGTGCTTTTCTATGAAACACAGAAAACGAAGAAACCGATTAAGTTACACAGGCTATCATTAAGTTACATTATATCATAGAACAAAATGTGTCCTGAAGATGCAAATCCAATTTTTGCACAAGAAGTTTTACAAAGAAATATTTTGAATGACATGACTTTTGAGTATACTTAAAAAAAAATTGTACTGATTAAGAGTTTGGGTTTAACTTTTCTTGACCATTAGATTACACACAGCAATTTGGTGAAATGCTGTTATAATTGAAGAATACATCATGTCCGAACTCAGAATGTTTCCTTCATACTCTCACTGATGCATAGTTTCAAAGGTTTTTTCATACAGTAATGTGATTCCTTTTGGCTGCTCCCAGGGTAAGTCATCCTAACTCAAAAACATCCTGTCAAAGATGGCGGGATTGTATAATTGTCTAAAATAGTACTTTTCATCATGACACACCTGAGAATAAAAAATTAATAACATGATTGATCAGCTTAGTTTAAAAGATATAAATGAACCGGACGCCTGTTGGCCTGTTCACGGGGGCAGAAATAAAGGTTGACCAGAGATGGTCATCGCGACTACAGTATTAGCCAATCATTGGCCAACCCTATAACCACCCCCACCAGTGATTGGTTGTTATGTGGATAAGATTCTCCACCATAGGAAGCAGTTCCCCTATAAATAAAAGAGGATGGCAGCAGTGAAACTCTCAAGCGGAACATCTAAATCATTTGTTCTTAATCCTGGTCCAGTAAGGAATGATTAACAGGCTTCTGCAGCACTTGATGGCTGCTTATGAGGTCAATCAAGGGCAAACATTAGAATTAGGTGTGCTGCAACAGGGAGACATCTAAAACATGCAAAACCACTTTCTTCACTAATTTGACATTTTAATTCTTAGAATGTGAACCATAAACGGATAACTGGTCAGGCCAATCATGCTATAGTATTTTGGTATAAGGCAGAAAATGTAGCTTTGACAAAAGCAAGAGCTGCCGACATGGCAGCCCTGAAGACCTACGTGTAGCTGCTGCTATTACATCCGTTTTTGTTGAAATCCACAATTTCATCTTTGAAAGAGGAACAACTAAAGTATTAAAAGGCTTAACCTGGTGTGGTTTCTCTCATGGCGTCTGCTGACATTTTCTTTTGTTACCATGACTGACTAAAACCAAAGTTTGGTAGGCGTCCTCTAGGCATCACTTGGCCAAATCAGCTCTGAGGTTTCTGCTGAAGGTCTGAGGAATAGTCTTCAAACAAATTCAATCAGGTAAACATATCTAATTGCAGTGTTTATTAGGGATTTGGAGAATGGGCGGTGTCAGGATCTGACATGTTATGGGAATGGGCCAGTTCAGTGTATCCTCACTAAAAAAACCTACAATTGAATGCTGGAAGCAAAATATCATTTAGGTAGTAAGAACCTAAGAAATGTATTTTAACGTCACAAATTTGTAAATAATGCAAAACCTTTATTTTTTTTTTATAGACTAAGGCAAGCTTTAAGTTTGGAAGCTTAGATATTTGACAACTTTTTATTTAACATAATCCTTTAGAGAAGGGGGTGTATGTGATCTCTATGTTTCTATGTGTTTTTTATTAACTGTCAGGAATATACTGATGTATTCATTACAAATCCATGTAAAGTCATCAATTTTTAACAAAATTTTAACTCACAAACAGGTGTGTAGACAGACTAGGCACACACATATAAACTGATTAAAAACAAAAACAAATTTGCACAAAACAAGGTCAAACAATTTAATTGAAACAATTACAGATAACCCTTTGACGATAAAATATACTGTTTTTAAACAAACATTAGGAAAATGAAAAAAAAAATAATAATTTCTATAACTTTTTTATAAATACATGATCATATAAAATTCAATCTTCATTACTGACAGTGTAAATGCTCTTGTTCTAGGATTAATTTTCTTCCCTGGAACACTTTTCCTGTCAGTGTTTTCAAATGGCTTTCTGGACTTGATTGAAGAAATAGTTTGAGATTTCAAAATTAAGGTTATAAGCAGATAAATGATCTCTTGGCATCTTCATTTAGAATATAATCTGATTAGTTGGTGCCAGAAGCTAAAATTAAGTGGTAATAACCAACTTATACTGAATGGGAACAAAACTAGAGAGAGATTATTTTAAGATTTCAGAAGAAACAGAAACAAGATGAATCCTATTAGCATAATGGGAGAAAAAGTGGAGGTGGTGAAGGAATATAAATACCTTGGTGTTTACCTGGACAATACACTTGACTGGACATGCCACTGTGAAACTGTGTCTACAAGAAGTGACAGAGCAGATTGTACTTCCTAAGGAAGCTTTGAACCTTCATTGTTTGCAGCAAGATGATGCATATCCTCTATAAGTAACCGTTGTATGTTAAAGTTGTTCTAGTCTTCCAAATGTTTTACACAAAAAGAACATTGTTGGCCTCCATTACCAGTGTAAATCATTTCCTCATATGCAAATGGTCCTGGTTAACCCTGGTTTTTAAACAATAATAATCATTTCAAAAACCAAAAATATTTTTGACAGTTGTCAAGTTAGCCATGTTAGCCAAACTTGGCTCTAAGAACAGTGAGAGCAGAATAATGTAAAATAACAAACAAAGAAACAGGCAAAATGTAATCCTTTTCTGTTGCTAGAGCTATCCCTTCATCCCTTCTAGACATTAATGGGTCATGGGAGAATAGGAGAGGGACTTGAGCAGCATCAACAGAAAATCTGAGACCATTTGTGGCCACATTTGTGCAGTGACCTGACTCCAGCACAACTTGATGCGTGTACCATGTTCCACACTGACAGTATACCAATGATGAATGGAAGACACTGCAGCACTGATGTCTCATGCTCAGATGAGTCAAGGTGGACAGACGGCATTTGCCAGATGTCGACTTCTATTTGATATTGGAGTTTTGATCTGTTATTTTGGCCATAGTTTTAAGAATGCCTTTTTTTAATGGCTGCCATTTTGTTTCCTTTAGGTGCAGTAAAATAAATTAAAGTACCTGAGATTATCTAAAATTTCATCTAAAAACAGTGATTGGTATCAATCAGTCTGGAAAGGGTAGAGAATCATTTTTAAGGTTTTGCTATATAAGAGAATCATTCTTCGATAAAATATTCATAAATAGAGGAAAAAGGGGAAAATATCTCCTATGAGACCCAGTTGTGACCTTAAGCTCAACCGTCATAAGATTATGCAGCAGAGCAATGATCAAAAGCCAACTGAGATGTTGTGGCATGACCTTAAAAACTTTATTCTTGCTTGAAAGCCCAGAAAAGGGCTGATATAAAATAATCCTGCAAAGAAAAAGATCAAATTTCCATCAAACCAAATATTTGTTGGTGGTTGTTCCTTCCAGTGGAAATAAAACTAGTTAATTTTTCATAAAGGCCAATTTGGATAGCTAGTAAAAGAAACCAAAATTTTAAAATGGCATTTTGTATGTCATTGTTTAATGATCTGGGACATCCATATTTGCGCAGTTTTAGCTGAGCAAAAGAATAAAAAAGACTTCACTGCAGAAATGTTTGATCTGGTTATGAGATAATTTTACTAAGCATGAGCAGATTCTGTTATTTTATTAATAAGAGAGTGTGTGTGTGTGTGTGTGTGTGTGTGTGTGTGTGTGTGTGTGTGTGTGTATATATATATATATATATATATATATATATATATATATATATATATATATATATATATATATATATATATAGTATTTTTCATGATTTCAAAAAGCCTTACCAAGTGCAATTATCTTACTGCACTTCCAGATTGTTGCAAATATTTTAAGTAGAATCTTTTGAAAAGAAGATTAATAATCGAACAGAATCTGTTCTTGCTTTGTATGTCGACTATATGCCTGCTTTATCAGCAAAAACATAATTCATAATTTCTTAGAAGAAAACATCTGTTTTCTTCTACTAAATTATAAATTTCCTTTGCAGGCATAATTCTTTTGACGCTGGGTGCATTACTGGGGCTGGTGAAGTGGGTAAATAAGCAGTAAAAATTATTTCAAAAGAAACAAGACAAGTTATGTTGCCTTGTTTTGTTCTAAAACAGCCCAAAGCCACTTCAACACAGAGTTCAGCTTAAGAGACTTGTGTGTCTGGTCATTATTAGAAGCCACGCATAACGGAACAGATTATTCCTTGACAATCCCTGGCAAAAATGACGGACTCACCAGTCTGAGCAGATGTCTATTTAGTTGTTTAATTTTGTTAAAGACACAAAACCATACTACACTCACTAAGTGGTCTGTGAGATTTAATTATTTTTTCCCTCTTTCATACATTTTTCCTGTTTGAGCACAGTAAAGCAACTTGTTACTGGTTACAATGATTTTCTTAAAGTGAGAAGGATGGCTTTAGTAATGTTTGATGTCTATGATCTGCTTTTTCTGTTTTTGACAAAATCAGACTAAAGGAACATCCTCCGATGGGTAATTCCACCGTTTTTAACAGGGGATCCATGAGCCATATAGAGCAGATGCATGGCTAAAAAAAGAAAATAAATGCATCAGACACACAAAAGGGGATTTGGATCCACCTCTTTGTGGATAACATACAGCACCAACCTGCATTCAAGTCTTATCACATGAGATACAGACTGTTAATGAGAATCGGGTCCCAGGCCTTCACCTTAAAATAATTCACAAGTATTTGTAACAATAGACTTTCAGAAATATTTATTTTTGATATAACTACAATATATTAGAAATATCGTAAGCTTTTTACCTTTAATACATTTACATAAAATATTGCCACAGGGATGTTGCCATGTTGTTTTATGATGCAATGGGTAAATTATGTAAGCTAGGTCCTACTGTATAGCTCTAGATCCATCAAGCATGCATTCCAGGTGAAAAAAACTGGTGACTTCCATGGGTAAAAAATATAACAAAGGATATATAAATCTTTTAGTAATTATGACATTTTAGGTATAGCAAACCACAAGTTTTAGGGTAATGGGAACAATATGTACTACATA